CGGACAATGAGGAGGTTGGGGAGGAACTTGGGCCAGTTCTGGAGCCTGGGGAAGGCTCCGATGGATGCTCTGAGACAGAGCCAGGACCGTCTTGACATTTCCAAGCCATCGGAAAGACAGCTGCCTTTGGAGGCTGATATGAGTGAGGAGGAAGAACAGCTGGGACCTGTTCCAGATGCCCGTATGCGCAGAGCAGTTAGGAGACGTGAACAACGGAGGACAAGGAGTCGACTCGAGAAGCAAAGCACACGTGAATGCTGAATAGTCCCTCCCTGACTAAATAGAAGGAAAGGGGAGTGGTTGTCGTAGCAGACAACAGTTCGTATTTCTGAACATTTTGCTCATTGTGTTTCGTGCCAGAAAGACTGCTTGTCAGAACTTAATTTGTTGCCTTTTGGCTGGGAGCTCACAGACTTGCAATTATTGCAAGGAACTGATAAGGTCTGTACTGCCATTAACTCCTTGAAGGACTACTGCATGGACTTTTTGTGGGTGAATGCAATTAATTCACAAGAGGTAAATAAAGAGGGGGTTTTTCGTGACAAGGAGTCTGTTTCTTGCTTTTGCCAAGGCTGGGTCAGAACAAATGTCACCCAGACCTGATGCAGAAATGAACAGCTGGAATATTTTACCTTCTCTTTTGTTTTCTCCATGCCTTCTAGAATTGCTTTTTTGAAGTCTTCCTGTTGCTCCTATCAAAGGGAAGGAGGAAGGCATTTAAAATTAGTTCTGATTTGGCTGTAACCTTTGTTTTAGTTGTCTGTCCATCTAAAATCCATGGATTAAAAAAAACCAAACAACCAGAGCCAGTTTAGTGCAGCAGTTTCAAGCAGCAGACTAGAAACCAGGAGGTTGGGAGTTCTAGTCCTGCTTGCCACACAAAGCCCGCTGGGCAGCCACTCTTTCACAGCCCCAGGAAATGGGCAATAGCAATAGCAGTTAGATTTATATACCGCTTCATAGGGCTTTCAGCCCGCTCTAANTAAAGTCCACACATTTTGTTAGTACACCTCTTTCCCAATATCTAAACACCATCCTTCCACTGTTTTGGTTTTGTTTTGATTTTTTTTTTTCAATTAAAAAGAGGATGCAGGTAAGTAACACAATTTAAAGGGATTTTTTTTTTTGCTGTTAAGAAGAAAAAGCAGAATACTAAATTTTGATTTGCACAGGCAATTTGTTGCCGTAGCCAATTCCTCAAAGGTGAATAAAACAGTGGTTAGGTGATAGACATTGTGACAAAAGTTGACAGAGCCCGTTAACACAAGCAGAAATTGGTACAAGGAATTTTTACATCTTTTCATGGAACAGACAATATTTTTGTATGGGTATCTTGATATTTTATATCAAGATACAAATATAACATTGGACAGAGCAGCACTCTTCTTAATTATAAGCTCTGATTTGCGGTTGACAGACACAACCACCATTATGTCTGAAAAATATTGCCCACATTTCAAGATTATTATTATTATTATTTTTAAAGGGAGTTTACACTTTCACAAAGAAGGGAACCATTTGGAGAGCTTGAAGAAATCAAGACATTAAAAACCAGAGCGCACCAAAAGTACCACAAAATCCATAAAGGCATCACACACAATTCTTGATAAATCAAACCTTGCAGTTTAGATTTGATCCACAGTTTCTGATGTTGTACAGTGACACCGGAACTTAAACTGGAGATCTTGGCTGACATTTCTGGAAAACTTCTGTTCCGGCTTTCAACTTCCCGTGTCTTTTTCAATCCACTACAAGGAACGCTTCTGGTTTCCTTAGCAAGAGTCACCTGGAATTTACTTCGGGCAACAGTCTTCGCAAAACTAGAAGCGGTCTGGCCATTCTCTTGGTCTGAAAGGTTTTCCGCAGCAGCGCCATCGTTTTCCTCCTCAATAAATCCAGACTTGACATAACCGCCGCCATTTTGGGAGATGGAAGCGAGCCAAAAGAAGCCCGAAGATGGAACTTTGCAGCAACCCCCAGCAATAGCCGGATGCCCTCTTTTCAGCTGGTGATACTTACCCACAAACGCACCAAATTCAACGGCGTGTTCTCCTTCAGCGGCCTTTGGGACCACAACGTCCTCTTCCTTTGAGGTGCTTCCCGGCTGGTTTTTACAAATGGGTTGAGAAGGAGTGCTGACAAAAAACTTAGCGGACAAAGATGTTAGATAAGGGAGGCTGTTTAAAGAACTGCCCCCCTTTTTAACTTTATTACTGTATTTGGATACTTGTATACCCTGTACTCTTTGACGAAGTTCTGTGGGAGAAAGAGCTTTTGGAAGTAAGGCACCCCCTGAGGAACTCGCCTCGGGAAAATTGAACTCGTCCCCCTTGGTGAAACCAGAGAACTTATGTCCTGGGTCTTTTTCTTCTTGCATAGATATGTTGCACAGCACCGCGTTATTAGCGTCAAGGCCTCCTTGGGGGAAAGAAGAGCCAAACGCGTTGCCGATACTGTGCTTCCTCCACATGGAAGATCTTAAGGGAACGTCGTCGATGAGGTTCTGGGTCAAATGTTTGGAAATACTCAGTTCCCGGGTGATTTCATTGTGGACCTTGCTTGCTTCTGAGGCCTTCTGGGCGGTGAGAGTTTTCAGCGTATCCACAGTGAGAGCAGAGAGGTCTTGCAAGTGGCCGATTTGCGTGTCCAGAGACTGCAAGGAGCGTTTGATGTAGTTGACTCTGTCGCCCACCTCCTTGATTTGGATGCACATCTGCTCAACGCTGGAGAGAAATAATCACAGAGAGAGAGAGAGAGAGAGAGAAGGTCTAAGGGATGCTGTTCTGACTACAAACCCTCTGAAATCAATCAACGATTCCTTTAATTAGGAGTGACAGCAGCCCACACAAAACGTTTTATCAATCACCACAGGCTAGCAAGTCCATCCGATCGGAAGATGAATAGTTGTCTGCCACCGTGACCCGACAAATGTGTGCACGACAAAAGCGCGCTGACGAAACCACAGCGTGAAAACCACGTCGTCATCAACGCGCCCACAACAGCGCCCGACAACAGCGCGCCAACAACAGCGCGCCAACAACAGCGCACCAACAACAGCACGCCGACAGAAGCATGATTTAAGTTAAGGTAAGGGTTAGGTTCAGGGTTAGGTTCAGGGTTAGATTTACGGCTAGGTTTAGGGTTAGGTTTAGAGCGCGCGTCTGTCGGTGTGCTGTTGTCGGTGCGCTTCTGCACTCATTCGTCGGCGCAGTTTATAACTCGCGGTTTTCTCGCTGCGGTTTCGTCAGGCGTGCTTTTGTCGGTGAACCGTCTGCCACATCTATTCATCTCTTCCCCCTACGTTTTATCCCCAGACCTAGGGTGGGGCTTCGCTAGCAATGGTTGCTTTTCTGTCCCAAGGACCGGCCCACAGATTGCCACTGCTCTCCTCTCCTCTGCCTTCTGCGCATCCGCTTATCAGGCACTGGACCCAGCTGTTCCTCCTCTTCCCCATCAGCCAACTCCAGACCTGGGGGCTGTTGACTCTCAAGCTCAGGGCTGACGGACAGCCCAGGCTCTGCCTCTGTCTCTGTCTGTCTCTGCCACCAACATTCCCTCTTCCCACTCGGAGCTCTCAGGGTGCCTTGATGCTGTCCCTCACTCCCACGCTTCCTCCTCGTCTGATTCGAGGAGGAAGCGTGGGAGTGGAGGGACCGGCGGCTGACAAGCCACAACACATGTTTTGATAAGATGTTAGACATCTAACAAGTTGTAAACTAAAGGACTTTAATTCTGCCATAAAAGAAAAGATCAGTGACCGTAAAGCTATTTTCCATGGAGACATCATGGAACATTTCTACTTCAACCATGACTCTGGACTTATCTCCTTCTCAATTAATACCATCCGAAGATGATTTTCCTATTGCATTGTGTACAAATGGCACAGAATATGATTTCCATGCTGTGGTGTTTTTCAAAACCAAAGGTAAGCACAGAATTTATTTATTTTTTAAAAATGGAGAAAGTTCATCTTAGGGTGAATAATGCTTATACTTCTACTATAAAAAAAGGGGTGTGTGTGGTTGAGTTATTTGCCTACCGTTCAGAGGTGACTCTAATTCTTTCTTCGCTCCGACAATGGAATTTGTCATCTTTTTCACTGAAATACATCTCAACACACAACTCTTCAAAATCATGAAGCTTCTTCTGATCTTCTTCTGTTAGAAATAGTTCTACGGAACAGGAAAAAAAAAACAAGACAGTTATAGAAGTTCTACGAATAGTCTGTCATGCTAAAAAAAAGACCAGGAAAATTGCAGAGATCAGTGCAAGAGAAATGATAACGTTCCTCTAGTGTAGACCCTTAAAAGTCTACACTCTACAGATATGTACAGGTATGTATAATCTATGTATATTCTATAGATTCCAAGATGAGATGAATCCAGCATTACACAGGAATATTTTTTTTTAAATTTCTTTTTTGGTCTTTTAATGACCCCATAATCTCTTGCATCGGGGTGGAGTCAGGGCAACTGAATGGAGCTGTGTGTTTATTGGCCGGATGCCCTTCCTGTCGCCAATGCAGAGTTCACAGCTGATGTTTATTCATTGTGCTGCTACCTAGGATCCAACTCACAGCCTCCCGATTGTAAGTCAAGAGCTCCCCGGCTTGGCCACTGACACCACTCCCTTCGAGCAACTTTTAAAGATACCCAGATGCATTTTTGAAGGTAAAGAAGCAGAAGAGAAGACATTATGTATTCTGTCCATGCTTACTTGGTCCATCTGAAGTTTTATCTTTCTTCCTTCGTTTGCAAATGCAGTAGCACAAAGAAGCCATGTGGCTGAGAATAATAAGAGGGGGAGGCAGGATGGGCTTCTCGTGATAGGTCATAACGAAATGATAACGCTGATACTTCCACACAAGGTTAGAGATAGCTTTCACTTGTAAATACACATTGCTAAGGAAAAAACAAGAAAGAATATATTAAAAAAAAAAACCCAGGTAAGTGTTTCAGTACAAAAATATCCTACAAACCAGTTTTGCCCATATGATACTGCAAAGAGATCCGTATTTACAAGAACTGTACTATGGTTTGTTACCAGAGATGGTAAAATTAACTGTTTTAAATTATCCAGTTTTGTTTCTATCTGGAAATTGCTTCTAGACTTGGTCCTTGAGGCAAAAAAAAATATATGAAATGTTGACTTACTCAGGGATTTGCTGATTAGATAGCTAGTATTTGTAAATGCGTAAAAAATAAAAAATTGAGGCTGCCATTTTACTTTGCATTTTACTATGCTAAAAAAAAGTTTGAAGTCAATGTTTTTTTTTTTTTCCCCCGTTATCCCACACTTCTTGTTTCTTTTCCTTTCCCATTTCCCTACTACCTTTATTTTTTTTATATTACGATAAATTGATTTAAAAAAAAAAAAAGACTTCTACTATGGTTCTACAACTACCAAAGAGATTTCTAAAGCTCAGTTTAATAACCAAAGGGTCCTGTGAAGTTCATACGTACTTGAAAAAGGCGATGAGAAGGTTGACCATAATGATGTACTGCACAAAAAGGTATACGGACTGAAGAAACGGAGTTAGCCATGATCCTGTGACACAGCGATGCTTAGCTTCGGAATTATTTGCACATACTGCGCAGATTAAAAAGAATAAGAAACATAAATATGGCAGATACAAAGGTGACCCAACATCAATCTGTTTTTTTAAACCCAACACCTCTGAAATATTTCATTTAAAAATATCCCTTGTTAATTAGGTAAAGGTTTGCAAAACCTCTTAAAACCTAACAATCAAACGTTTAGATCAATGCTGAGTTTTTGTTATAAATCAGGGGCATCAAACTCAAGGCCCGCAGGCTGGATCTGGCCCACGGGGTGTTTAAATCTGGCTCGTGGGGCCGGACTGGAAATAGCAAATTCCACCCACCCCACTCCCTCCCTACTGCCTGGATGACCTCCTGCAGCACTTTGCCAGCCAAAATGGGGCATTGGGGGGGGGGGGCTCATGTGGGGGGCCCCCGCACCCCATTTTGGTCTGCAGGGTGTTGCTGGAGGCGTCTGTCCCGTTTCCCTCCCAGCCCACAGAAGAGAACTAAAATGCTGATCCAGCCCTTAAAGAAATCCAGTTTGAAATCCCTGTTATAAATACAATAATACAATAGCAGAGTTGGAAGGGACCTTGGAGGTCTTCTAGTCCAACCCCCTGCTCAGGCAGGAAACCCTATACCATTTCAGACAAATGCCTATCCAACATCTTCTTAAAGACTTCCAGTGTTGGGGCATTCACAACTTCTGGAGGCAAATTGTTCCACTGATTAATTGTTCTCACTGTCTGGAAATTTCTCCTCAGTTCTAAGTTGTTTCTCTCCTTGATGAGTTTCCACCCATTGCTTCTTGTCCTACCCTCGGGTGCACTGGAGAATAGTTTGACTCCCTCTTCTTTGTGGCAACTCCTGAGATATTTGAAGACTGCTATCATGTCTCCCCTAGTCCTTCTTTTTATTAAAGTAGACATAACCAGCTCCTGAAACCGTTCTTCATATGTTTTAGCCTCCAGTCCCCTAATCATCTTTGTTGCTCTTCTCTGCACAAATGAATCAATGAAATCATAATTACCTACCGTCAATTTCATAAGCATACACTTCACCAAATATCATCCAGTAAGGCTGAAATACAATATCTTTGGCTAGGACCCAGGAGGGTTCTTCGTTAGGATAAAGTATTGCTTTCCTAGGTACTCCAAAACTGAGCAGGACCAGGGCCATGATCACGACAATATAAAACATGTTCGCCACCTGTTAAAACAGAGCAAGAGTCAAGGAAATTGAAAGTATTAGTAGAAGGTCACAGCAGCCTTGTGCAACATGAGAAATGTTCAAGATATGGATTTCAATCAGGTATAAGTAGTCCTTGATTTGGTGCGGTGGCCTAGGGGTGGAGCTCTCGCCTCCCAATCAGGAGGGTGTGAGTTCGATCCTGGGTAGAGGCAGATATTTCTCTCTCTGGGCACACATGAGAATATATCTGCTGAACAAAACTCCGCGATGGTGACAGGAAGGGCATCTGGCCATTAAAACACTCCGCTCCACTCAGTTGCCCAGACTTCACTCCGCAAGGGATTATGGGGTCGTTAAAAGATGATGATGATAGGCAGCCCTTGACTTATAGGCTGTTCAGGTAATCTAAGCATCCGAATTTTGTTTTTGTTTTTAAATAGTTTTTATTAAATATTTTAATCTTTAAAAACAGAAAGAAAAACACAAGAAGAAAAAACAGAAAAACAAACATTTTGTTTTTTTAAGCATCTGAATTTTGGATCACGTGACCCCAGGCATGCTGGAAAACGGTCATCGGTCACTTTTTTCAGTGATGTTGTAACTTTGAACGGTGGTTAAATGAACTGTCGTAAGTCGAGGGCTACCTGTATATAAACCAGAGAGGAATGGAATGGAACCCTGATCCTCTTAGGGCCGCTCCAAGCTTTGGATCCCTGCTCAAAGTTGTCACCAAACTGTAAAAGCTGATGTTACACTTTCAAGATGAAAATTATAACCATTAATGGGAGATACTTGGACTAAATCGGAAGCAGCTGTCCTGGCTTCATCTGTTATTTCCGCATATCAGTTCTGATACATGCTCAACCCTTCTATGTATAAATCCATGATTTCAATGCAGAAAACCAGAGTACGTCACCTGTGTGGACTATATCTATATGCGAGAAATGTCTGTGTAAATTACACATGTGCAGCAAATACAATATGGGGGATGGGAAAGCATTAAATGTGATCATTAAAGTTCATAGATGCTTCCATTCCACATCATGCTGCATATACAATCAAGCACACCTATATTTGTATATATCCAAGATGACCGCAGATGGGGACTGCAGCCAAGAAATTAAAAGCCACTTGCTCCTGGGGAGGAAAGCTATGGCAAATCTAAACAGCATACTAAAAAGCAGAGACATCACCCTGCCAACAAAAGTGCCTAGTTGCAATGGATGGTTATGAAATTTGGTATATAAGAAAGTCTGAGTGTTAAAGAATTGAGGCCTTTGAACTCTGGTGCTGGGGAAGACTCCTGCAAGGCAATCCAACCAGTCAGCCCTACAAGAGATCAACCCTGACTGCTTTTTAGAAGGCCAGATCCTGAAGAGGAAACTCAAATAGTTTAGCCACTTAATGAGAAGGAAGTTCTCACTGGAGAAGAGCCTCATGCTGGGAAAGATTGAGGGCAAAAGAAGAAGGGGACGACAGAGAATGAGGTGGCTGGATGGAGTCACCGAAGCAGTTGGCGTGAGCTTCAATGGACTCCAGAGGATGGTAGAGGACAGGAAGGCCTGGAGGGAAGTTGTCCATGGGGTCGCAATGGATCGGACACAACTTTGCAACTAACAACAACAGTTCTATCCATGCTGAGAATTAACTGCTAAATAAGGTCTATCTTAATTTACTGAAAGTAAAGTAAAAAGAAATTTATTTGCATTAAAAATTCAACCACCAGATATATTTGTTTAATCTTACCATTTTCCCAATCATCATGACGTAGGGTCCAGCATGTTGATTTACAGCCAGAAAATCCAACAGTCTCACATACCAAAATATTATATTCAGGCAGTAAATGAGTCTTCCAGCAACGAAAACATAATTTTCTTTGTAAGTATTTTCATGGAAGTTCCCTTTTGCTCCAAATCTTAGTACAAAACCAATGAAGAAAGTGATAATGGCTATTGTGTCACTGATGTTGAAGTAATCATTGAACCACACTTTAACCTTCTGGCTAATCTTTCCAGCTTCTGACATAAAGATCTGTATTAAAAATAACAAGAAAATCAGGTATGATCAATTTTGGTTCATATCAAGGACATTAACGGCCTGATTAGGTGGCTGTTAACATGAACCCACAGCAATCTGTTGAATGTCAGAAACTAGAGACCAACAATCATGGCAGTAGCTTTACAAACCAGGGTTATAAGGCAGTGGTTTCCAGTTTTATATAGCAATAGCCAGGGGTGGGCTTCAAAAATTTCAGCAATGGATTCTCTACCCGGTTGCTGGGTGGGCATGGACATGGTGGGCATGGCCTAGTCGGCCTCCTGAACCACAGCGGGATTTGGGGGGGGGGCGCATTTTTGTCTTCCCTGGGCTCCGGAGGCTTTCCTTGAGCCTCTAGGAGGGCGAAAACTGCCTCCCCCGGGCTCTGGAGGCTGGAAACGGGCCCTTCCGGGAGGCCCTTTTCCCCCCCCTCCCTGAGCCTCCGTGCGGGCCCTGCACTTACGTCACATCCAAAATGGGCCACGTGGAGACTCCTGGGAGGGGAGGGGCAGGGTGGGTGGGGCCATCCAGGGGTGGGATTTGGAGGTTTCCGAACCGGCCATAATATTAGCTACGGGTTCTCCCGAACCTGGGTGAACCCCGTAGCAGCCCACTCCTGGCAATAGCTTTTAGACTTGTATACTGCCCAATAGTGTTTTACAGCATTCTCTGGGAACATATTGGCCCCAAAAATCTGTGTCTTCATTTTACTGACCTCTGAAGGATGGAAGGTTGAGCTCCATTAGGATTGAACACCAGTCTGTGGGCAGAGTTAGCCCGCAATACAGTATTCTGCGTCACTACAGCTCACTATATATTTGGCCAGCTCAATGACCATACCGGTAGTAATTCTGCCTCCAACTTCCCCCACAAAACAACCCTGTAAGGAGGGCTGAGTTAAGAGAAAGTGACTCATCATTTCCTGGTCTTTAGGGAAGCACCTTAACCACAATAGAAAACTGCCCCCTAGGAAGCTTAGGATATTTCAAGAGGGCAATGGAGGAAAACAAGGCCAGAAGGGGCCCATGAGTGAAAAAATCGAGAAACACTATTAAAAGGCACATTTGCTTGTATTCGCTCTGGTTACTGTTGGCACACATTGCTGTGGCCCGTCAGTGGGGCTGGCAGCAGAGTCGGACAGTGAGGAAGTTGGAGAGGAGCATGGGCCAATCTTGGAGGATGGAGAACGCTCAGACGAGGGCTCTGCATCGGAGGCAGAGATGGGGCCAAGGCCATCTGGGAATTCTCAGCTGCCTTTGGAATCAGACACCAGTGAGGCAGAGGAACAGAAGGAGCCTGTTCCCAGTGTGCACATGCACAGAGCTGCCAGAAGACAAGAACAACTAAGAAATCAGGGTCGACTTGGGAGTAAAGCCACAGGTGAACGGTGAATGGCCCCTCCCATAGGAAATAAAAGGGGAGTGGCCTTTTGCAGGAAACAATTCATTCGTTCATTTCAGGAGTGTGAAGATCTGTCCATGAATCTCTGAACTCTGTGCCAAGTCTTTCCTTGCACAGCACTGAGTTTGGAAAATATCTACATGGCAGCTTTCCAAGCTAGATAAGGTCTGTCGTCATAAATTCCCCTTTGAAAGACTTTTTACCATGCCTTGGCTGAATGTGAATGAGAGGAATTCACATTCGTATAATAAAAGGGGTTTTGTTGGGACCAGGACTCTGCCTCGGGCTTTTTGGGGAAGCCTGGGTCAGAACACACACGTTAGTTGAAACCGTGCCAATAGCCAACAGAAAAAAACACAGAGGCATGGTATTTAAAGAAAAGGAAGATGACACCAGAAGTACGAGCATCTATACTAGGCTCTGGATTGCACAAATATAGTTTTAAGGGGATCAGCTATGAATAAAAGATACATTATTTGCATCTTAAGATCTGGTCAGGCAAACCTTACAATATAAAGGGGAGAGGAGGAAAAAAATTATGGTGGAACTGGCACCAGGCTTGGTAATTTCTGGACCTCTAAGATGTTTGGAACGTCTGTATCCAAACTTGTGCATATAAACAATATGTCTGTTAAATCACACAGGTGGTCTCCAAATTGTATGACGAGAACCTTGAAAAAAAGCCGCTTAAAAGCCCTTATGCTTTTTAGCTTCACACACTCTAACGCAAACATTATACACAGGGCCAGATTGACTATCCCACTTTGAACCATTTATGGTGGACTGGCAAAGTACAACTTGTGCATACCCTCTTTGTACAACAAATTCAGTCCACTGTTATTGGGTTTTGTTTTGTTTTCTTTTCTGATGAAGCATTTGAAACCCTCTTCAGTGGAACAATGTTAAGGCAGACATACCTCGCGGATTTTCTCAACCGCCAGTGTGAAAATGTAAGCGATGACAATCCATTCCTGAACCGAAGGCAATTCTTCCATTTTCACCAGAACCACAAAGGTGTAAAGCATCAGGAATCCTATATAGGCCAACTAACAAAAGACAAGACAAGTGTTAAGATATCCATCTGGATAGGTTTAAAAAAAAAAAAAAAAGATTCCCGGATGGGGAAGAGTAATTCTTTACCACAACTAAAACCAACTCACCGTGTTGAACCAGAATTTCACTATTGGCGCGTGATAAAAAGCGTAAAACTTTCGTGTAATGGGAAGCCTCTTCGGTTTTATCATGCTCTCCATGTCATGCTTTACGTCAGAATGATCCAAGACCTGGACTTCTTTGAAGACTTCCTAAGATTAAAGCAACATGGTTAATTGACCTACACTTGGTAAGCGCTGTATTTTAGTGGTGAAGAGTACCTGATGGGATAGGCATAGTCAAAGTCAGTGATAGAGTGGCAATACAATTCTCTCCTGGAACAAAAGTCCCAATTCAGCTCTCAGGATGTATAAACACGACTGAAGAAAGATCTACGAAAGCTCCTGACAGCTGCTTTCTTCAGTGTCAGCAATACTAAGCTAAATAAATGAGTGTTCGATCCTGGTCTATAGCAAGTTCCTAGGAGCATGGTGGCTTGAGTGGTTGGAATACTGGGCAGGATGTTAGCAAGCCGTATTTGAGACCCGAGGGCTGCAGTAGGGCGGGGTTGAGCTATTATCCATCACTTGAAGCTCCTATCATTTAAATGTGAGCCAGCAGTGTGCTGCAGCTGCCAAAAAAGCCAACAGTTCTAGGCTGCGTAAAAACAGAGGGATAGAATCAAGATCACGTAATGTGTTAATACCACTTTGTAATGCCTTGGTAAGGCCACACTTGGAATACTGCATCGACTTTTGCATCCACAATGTAAAAAAGATATTG